AATATAAATCCCTTCATTTGAATCACATTCCAGACATTTCAGTAAAATGGTGGATGAATCACATTTTTAATTTTTTGCACGTTCATGACTAAGAATATTCCCGAAATAAAAAATATAATTTTATGTGAAAATAGGTAAGCAAAACATTCAGTAGGTGAAACGGTGACAGCTTATGATCTTCCTTTGCTTTATAAACCTGCCAAGTCTTAAATGAAAGAATGGTTGTAAAGTCACCTTTGTAACTCTGAACTGTCACTTTCTGAGGCAGTCACTAAACGAAGATTCCCTGAAGACTCCCTGTTCAGCCTATGGTGTGAAAATAGCCACAATGGCTTAGTTCATCCGCACGTTCCATTTGCTGCAATACAGATACAGTATATCACAGAAGTGAGTCCACCCCCTCACATTTTGTAAATATTTAAGTATATCTTTTCATGTGACAACATGTAGTGAGTATACAGCTTGTATAACAGTGTAAATGTGCTGTCCCATCAAAATAACACAACACACATTAGTGTATAAACTGCTGGCAACAAAAGTGAGTACACCCCTAAGTGATAATGTCCAAATGGGGCCCAAGTAGCCATTTTCCCTCCCTGGTGTCATGTGACTTGTTAGTGTTACAAGGTCTCAGGTGTGAAGGGGCAGCAGGTGTGTTAAATTTGGTGTTACTGCTCTCACTCTCTCATAGTGGACATGGCACCTCATGGCAACAAACTCTGAGGATCTGAAAAAACCAATTGTTGCTCTACATGTAGGCTATGCGAAGTTGGAAAAGCAGGAAAAAAGAGGCTTTTCAAATTCTGCGCACAGCACTTTTCAGCTGTCCGGGCGGCACAGCTTAAGGTCTTTTTACATGCACGCACAACGTAGTCACTGAACCAGTAGTAACACCGGTTGAATCCCACCCCTGGATTGCATTCATTACAGGACCCATATGTGAGTGAGCACAAAATGAAACACAAAACAACATTTGTATTTAATGCTTCCCCCATTCCAACTACAATATAAAAAATAAGAATAAAACAATTTTACACACCAGAAAAGAGTATCTTCCCTAGCATCTTTACTAGCAGGCTGAAAATGATACTATTATAGGTAGTCCTCGACTTACAGTTCAGTCCAAAATTTCCATTGCTATGCAACAATTGTTAAGTTTTGCCCCATTTTGCAACCTTTCTTGCCACAGTTATTAAGTAAATCACTGCAGTTGTTAAGTTAGTAACAACAGTTGAAATCTGACTTTGACTGTCAGAACTTTGCAAAAGGTGTTGTTGACATGATCTTGGGATGTGCGACTTTCATGTCAGTTGCCAACTATTTTGAACACATGGCCATAGGAATGCTACAACAGTCAGTACCATTATAATCTTGAATGTTCACTAAACGCAGGGTTGTTAAGTCAAGGATTACCCCTGTAAGGATTTGGAGGCTAAAAAGGGACAAAAGTTACTGAAAAGTTTAAAATGATAATATTTGATAAAAAGACAGGTGGGAGGCATAATTCTACATTTTTTATTTTTCTCTATTTCTTACTTAGAGACAGACAGACAGACATGATACTGTTGTCCCAGGAACTCTGGGGATTTTTAGACTGTAGAGATCTTTGCAAAACTTTAGTCTCTAGAATACTTGATGCTTCAGAACAGATTCCAAATCAAGCATATTGTCCTTTTCAAGGTGAGTTCCTTTTAGGGAGTTCTTACAAACTGTTTAAACGGAACTCGCCTTGAAATGGACAATATGCTTGAGACTGATTTATGACTGTTCTTTTAAAGTTTAAAAGAATAGGCCTAAATCATTCTGTCTCAGACCTTTTACCACCCTTCCCCTCTCACTATAGACAGGCATCTGCAATGAGCTTGTTTTCTGTTTATCGCATGGAAACTGTCCCATTGTTCTGACAGTTTCCCCACATTTCATATCCTATTGCAAAGTTCTTCAAACTTGACAGCTTTAAGACTTGTGGACTTCAACTCCCAGAATTCCTGAGCTAACATGACTGGAGAAGGAATTCTGGGAGTTGAAGTCCACAAGTCTTAAAGCTGTCAAGTTTGAAGACCCCTTGGTCCAACAATTTCCATGCAGTTTCGCTTCTACGTAGTTTTACTATTATTATTTCATTCATCTACCATTTGTCGGTGTTTCCCCGAGATTGGTGTGCTCCTCTGACAAGCTGGTTGCATCAAGCCCGGGGGAGGCATCCCGTTTTAAATAGACCTAAGAGGCCGCTATCTTATCCACATTGTTAGGAAAACCAAAACCTGCCTACCTTCCCACGTTAACTTAGGACTCCCAGCCGGGTGTGCGAATCCTTTCCACAGACCAGTGGAAGTGCTAAAAACAAAAACAAAAAACGTTCGCAAGCGTCGAACTGCCCCCTCTCAAAACGCCTCCAGTCCCGGGCAAGCCGGTTCCCAGTTTCTCTCCTACTTCGGACCGCGCAAACCTTGGCAGCGATTCTGCAAAGGCCTCCGCTTTCCAGCCTGCGGGGAAGATTTGGCTCTTCTTTCTTTCCCCTCACGTTTTGGACAATTCCTACCCTCCCGCACCTCGCCCCCGTCCCCGTCCGGACGCGCCGAAAGCAGCAGCCCCGCTGCAACCCGGAGGCAGGGAAACGGGGAAGCCCGCCCGGAGCACGAGCGCCGCGTCTCTCCAGCCGCAGGAACCGGGAGGGTCCCCGGCGGCCTTGCCTTTCATGCGCGGCGACCTGGCTGCTCCGCGGGGTGACGCCGCACCTGCAGCCCCGCCGAGGCGCTTGGCGGGCGGGCACCGAGGCAGCTTCGTCCCCGCCCGCCGTCTCCCCTTGCAACGGCCGCGCGCTTTCCCTGCTGCCGCTCCTCCTCCTCCTCCTCCGCCGCCTCCCTTCCTCCGCAGGGCCGGCGGGGCGGAGCTCTTTCCTTTCACGCCGGCCTCGGTTTCGAGTAGCCGCTTCTGCCATCGCCTCCGCGGCAAAGAGTCCCAGGAAATGCCCGCCGCCCCCCGCTTCGAGTCCCAGAGCGACGACGACCTGGAGCCCGAGACCCCCATGGAGCCCGACGCCGCCCCCCCAAAAAAGAGCAAGGTAGGCAGACGCCCAGGCCGGCCGGGCCAGCCTCGTGGCGGCAGCGGCTGCAGCAAGCGGCCGGGGAAGGAGGAGCCGAAGGCGGGGGCAGCGGGCGAGGAAACGACGCGGCTGCGTGGGGAGCCGAGCGGCCTGCTTGCTGCGTGTCGGCCTGGGGAAGCGGAGGGATCGGGCCTGGGGGTGGCGGGTGCTTCCCCATTGTGGGGCTTGCGTCTCTCATCCCCCCGCCCTGGGCTTTCTTCCCGTACAATAAATGGATTCTCCATTCCCGCCCCCCAAATAATAGCGGATGTGCCAAGACGAGGGGCTGACGTCTTGCTCTTATTTCTTCCCCACAAAAATGTTTCCTCATCCAGTTTTTACCGTATGTGCCATCTGTGCGCAGATCATGGCGTAAACCTATTTACAAGCTTGTGTATTTCCTTCGTCCTGGTTCTAAAAGTACGAACACGTGGAGTAGCGGAAGGCCGGAACGCGTCCTTCTTCCTCCGCTTCCTTTAAAACTTCACCATTTCACCCGTCTTTCTTTCTTTTTTTGCCAACTTGTCAGATGTCTTAGGAGTTCAATTTCATGCAAAACAAAAAAAAAGTACGCAGGGCAATAAATGCACTAAATATCATTTTATGTATATAAATCAAGGCATTCGTAATGAAAGTTTTCGTTTTTGTGATAGAAAACGAAGTGTTAGTAAAAGGCCCTATACAATGGATATTCAGAACATTTCCATTTCTATATATTTCTACTTGTTTTTTTCTGAACATTTTCAGCATTTTTAAACATTTTATATCTGGCTAATTTTTTTCTCTCTGGATAAAGTTTCCTATACCCATATTTTGGGTGTCTGTTAGGTGATTGATTCCAAGAGTTGGAATCAAAATACATCTGGAAGGTCCTGGGTTTTGGTAAAAGGAAGATCAGTTGGGATGAAGGAAATGTAATTGTCTCATTTAAATATAAACATTGTGATGGTTTCTTGTTTTGAGCCTTAATTTAATAACCATCTTTGCTGATTTATTTTAATGCTTTAATTTTCAGACGGTTGCATAACAATAGTAACATATTACACAAACATTGATTATTGTTGATTTTAGCAATGAAACAAATATCAGAAGAAATCACTGTTTCCTATATTTTTAATAATTATATTACAATTTTTAACAAGAAATAGAGAAAACAATGTACACAAGCCAATTAAAATAACATTTTAAAATTTAAAACATTTTTTCTTTGATTTTTTTTTTTTAAATACTAAGTGTGTTTCTTATGTTTTTACACAAGGGCACAAATTGGTGTTAGGTTGGGCAGCCTTGTTTATTGTAAAATTAAATAACTAACATAACATTAGTTAAGTTACAGTAACAAATGAAATAAAAGGGGGGGAAAAGAAACCCCCAAAATGAACATAATAAATTGATATGCATCACTTAAATGCATTGCATGTTTAATTATTATATTGAATTATGCATTAAAACTCTTCTTGTAAAATACTGTATTATGAAATCTATGCCAAAAAGGAAAAAAGTGTGCCATTTGTTTAATTAGTAAAAGGTAGCTGTTCTAAAATTTGATAGGTTACGTATTCTTTAAATGTCATCTTTCATGTCTAGGGCAATAGCACATTTTGTGTACTATTACCATTTAATGCACAAAGTCTGTAGAGAATCTGTAGAGATTCTCAGTCATCCAGGTCATGGTTGTCCCAAAGATGCTTTTTCAAGGAGGCAACTGGACTTTCTTGTTTTTTTCTTTGAAGACTGTTCACTTCTCATCCAAGAAGCTTCTTCAGCTCTGACAGGTTAGTGG